TTTCGAAACTAATATTTTTTTAGGTCACACCTAATTACATTATTTACAAAGTTATTTGAATATAAATAGCTCGGAAAATGTTCTTTTATTGGATAAACAAAATTTTTGACTTTAGTTTAGTACAAACGTAAAAAGTCCTTAAAAGTTTAAAAAAGTTTACAAAAAAGTACTGAAATCATTTTTTAAAAAAAAGTAGTGAATGGACGGGTTAGTAGTACAATTAATTTAGAAATGCACACAAAAATTCAGCTAATAAAGGTGCGTAGAAATTGAATGACATGCATTGGTAAGCAAGAAAGAAGAGCTATATATAGGTAAATTGAATTCACAATTACGGGAAGAGAAAGATTTGGACGTTTTATTGATCATATCCACTCTTGAAGAAATTCACTGCAAACTTTTCGAATGCTCGATTGCGGGAACATTACCATTCATTTTCTGAAATTTCAGACATCTATTTCTAAACAGTAAAGAGAAAGTACTGTAACAAAAGATCGAATTCGTAGGCAAATGAAATTCGTTCTATTCTATGCAACCTTCAACCAGATATCTTCTCTTTATTTCTTTAAATAAAATCTTCCAAACTATTTGCAAAAGATAGAGATATTTTTTCACATCTTCGGTTTGTTTCCTAAATATTTCAGTCGACATTCTTCTTTTGCAACCAAAGTGAAACTTCTGAATATTCATGTAGGTAATGAATGAAGTGATACCTGTTCGTTTTCGTATGAATCTTTACAGAAAACGAATAGGTAACCACATTTTCATCTTGCACTGATTAATAGGAATGACTTGAACTATTCTTTGTCAATTGCTACAAGTAGGACAACTCCCAAGCATTTAATTAAATCTTAAGCTATCACAAGTTAGTGCTCATATGAAATGCTATGCAAGAATTTTATAAATTCAGAAATCCTAACTTAACAATGTTTCGTGGTCAATGCTCAGCAATTTTATCATGTTATAAAGCAATGAAGTGAAAGTCAATATAGCCGTTTTTTTTTTTTTTTTCCCAAGAGACACTTACGTCTATTCCCAAAACCTAACTAAACATATTACATTTACTACTTATCTTGTAAAGCAACTTTATCACTTCTAGTTACCATAACGCATAACGTAAAACATCATCTGTAAGGCCTGGTCTTATCCAGCAAATTATTATACTCCTTTCAGTTTCTTATTTTTCAACCATCTACTTTGATTTTTAAAGTAATAATCTCGACAAGAAGAAAGCATCTTGTCAATTCAGACTTTTTCCTGGAACAATACCACCAGGATAATACAGTTATCAAATGAAAGACCATTAGTTTACCTGAGCAACAAAACACAATTAATAAAAATTAATAGTAATAACTAATAATAATAATAACGACAGCAATAGTAAATAACCACTGAGAGAGAAGCTGTCTATCTTTAAAAGTTAAAACTTCAAGTTTCACAAGATAACACACGCTTCTGTTTGGTTGAATTGGAAAGATTAAAGAAGTCATACAACTTCTACGTAGGGCAATACATTTGAAATTCTGTTTCTCTAAATGTGTTTCCAACTTCCTCGATAAACAATTCTGAATTTCTATCACTCATGAACAAAGATTTCCAGATTTAAAGGAATAGTTTCCCTTAAATAAAACAATCCGTACTTAAAATCTCCGTTTTTTAGCTTTCCTGAAAGAAAATAGAAATTGCCAATGAATGGATCAACCGTTCCATGATTGCCTTATTAAATATTATTATTATTTGCACAACAAGTGTTATCACAAAAAATTTTCGGTAGATAAAAGTCCAAAGTCCAAAAATATTCTCGCCATTCTATTTACTAGTTCACCAAGATTTGCATTTGTGTGATTAAATATTTCTCAAAGGATGGGAACTTTTGTTAAATTTAACGTAGCTTGTTGGTAATATATGGCTGCATACTTTGGAATTTGGGTTTAATTAAAGTTCCAGGATATTTTGTGAATACATTTACTAATTCAATGGTTTTAAAATTTTTGAAAAGTGAGGTTTCAAAACTTCCAAAAAAACTTTAAAATTCGATATCATACTTCAGAAGATAATACAGAATTTAAAATACAATTGCCGTCATTGGAGAAGTGAAATGTTGCAAATATTTTCACCATTCTTTTTATAAAGTTGTTTTTGTTTGAAAGCAAACAGAGATCAACTACTATAATTTTCTCAGTAGATGAAAATTCGAAGTTTTAAAGTTGCATAGATTAATTATTTGTAATGTAATGGAAGTTGCAATATTATAAATCATCATTTACCATCTTTTTAATTTATCTAGACAAAAATTTGCAAAAGATGCTTTGCCTTTGAAATTCCACTTTTCGGATTTACAGCCGATTCTATATTTCTATTTCTGATACTTATTAAGATCTCTAATCCTAACGAGCGACAATATTAGCCGTTTGTTGTAGGAAGCATAAGTTTAAATTTGTTTAAATAGGTTATATAACTTGACATTTTGTGAAGACAAAAACAAATGTAAACCTAGAATTCGCGGTGGAACTAAATCTATAATTTGCTATAAATATGTATTCACTAATTTGATCTGAGCTGATCTCTGTCCACAAATGCCGTAGAATCATTTGCTAAAATTTTTATGCTTTGCATTGGCAAGTTTTCCATCCAGCTGACAAATCGGCGTCTAAAAATTTTAACTCTATTTTATTTCTGAGGGTAAATTAATAGGGAATGATGTCATGAGATTATAATTAAATAGAAAACTTCAAACCAGTAATATAATAATTGTCGCTATTAAATTTAAAACTTTTAAAATTTTGCAGTGTTGTTTGGTTTTCTTTCCCTATTTCATTTTTTGTTCATTACTGTCCTGGAATTAAAATCATTCACTTATATTTGGTTTTATGTATATTCTTTAGAAGTTAAAAATCTGTGTGCAGCTTCCAGTAAAAATTTCTTAATATTTTGTTCTTACTAATTATTTTTTCTCTCTATAAATTTTATATCTCAATTAACAAAAACGAAAATGTTGAAGTTGTAAATGATCACCTTTGCTTACTTCATGGATGATGGCTGAAAACGAATTCAAAAATGAATCAGTTCATTCACCTTTGCAAATTCATATCCAGCCATGAATTTTTATTAATAGCAAAAAAAATAAAAAAATAAATAAATTCCTAAATATTAAACAATGACGTAGGTGACTAAATTTGATTTGATTTCTGAGAATGATTGGATTGGTTGGATATTAACAACATCAATATTTCTAGCTATAAAAAATTCAAATGTTTCCAATAAAGATCAAATAACATTCATTCTCCATTCTGGTAATTCAACAAAAAAGAACATTGTAACAAACTGAAATACAAGTGAGAATTTATGATTCCGAAAATTATTCCATTCTTACCAAATAGAACTCAATTTCATTACATAGTGACCAGAACTGAGCGAAAAAAAATAATAAAATAGCTCCTTAGTCTGGATTATAAGAATCAAAGGTTTTCAAGGTTTTCATGTTTTGTAAAAAAGATCAAAGGAAATAAAATTTTAGTTGCTGTAATTATGTGGTAAACACATTGGATTTCTTTCAAATGTTTTAATTCGTCGCAAATAAATAAGCTTTCAGTAACTGTAATATATTCACATAATTTCGCATGGAATGATTAATAAATTCGTAATGAAATATTTTTAGAGCAAATTCTAGCACAGTGAAAAAAAAAAAAACAAATCAAATGCTAGCTAACATAAATTGCATTCCACAATAAAAGTAGCGCATTCCGTTCAATTCAATAAATGTTTCATATTCTGTAACGTAAATGAGAGATATTTATTTGATTTAATATGACACTTAAAGAAATTAAATGAGACACTGTCGAAATAGATATCTTTCAAATGTATCGCCTTGGATGAAAAGGAAAGTGATTTACGCATCATCATTTGCATACGAATTTCAGACACATTGAATCGATAGGTATTCTGTCAGCATGGAAACATGGGATCAGTTGATTTGGCTTTACGGGTGACGGTGAGAGCATTCGGACGTCAAGTGTAAAATATTTCACTATTTAATATGTACTTTTTAGTATACATATATCTGTTTCATGACAGAACGTTTCCAATCTTCAATTAATTGTTGGCAGAGAGTTCACAGAAATTTTTCCACTCGTCGATGATGTTCATTGACCCACGTAGAAGTATTTCGCTACTTTCTGCTCTCTTCAGAATAACAGTTCTTTTTCGTAATCTCAGGTACAACTCATTTCTTTGCTAACACTTTTAGTATGACTTTTTTTCTCTGCCTATGAACGAGCTGTTTCGTGGGTGTTTCTGTATCTGTCTTTCTTCATACACCGCAGTCTATCGCTTTTTATGGTTTTCTATGTCTTTTACAACATCGTAGATGTTGAAATATCTAAAATTCCTATAGATAGAAAAATAAATGCTGGTATAAGAGAGGTAGAAATAAGACGGTCGTGGTTTGGTAATTTTTTTGTTCGAGGTGTTGTGGAATTGACATAACAGACATGTAAGGGTAGGTAAGTCAGGTTTTTTATTATAATAATAATAATGCTACTACTACTACTACTACTACTACTACTACTACTACTACTACTACTACTACTACTACTACTACTACTACTACTACTACTACTACTACTACTACTACTACTACTACTACTACTACTACTACTACTACTACTACTACTGCTACTACTACTACTACTACTACTGCTACTACTACTGCTACTACTACTGCTACTGCTACTGCTGTTTGTGCTGTTTGCTGCTTGCTGATGATAACACTACAAACTACAATTGATACCATCTTACTATCACTTCACGTACTGTCGCCGTGTTCATTCCTCTGTTCATTGTGCACTGTTAACATGTTAAAGGCTTGCTGATAGGTGTATTCTACGCCAAGACTCGAAAATTTTTTTTACTCTGACCACCAGTTAGAATTGGTGTCGCGTTATACGGGAAATTCAATACTTGGCACTTGTCAGGGTTTTGAAATTTTTTTTCCAGGCGATATGGATCAGAGTAGTGGGCGTTTCGAAAATGATAGGCCACAAAGGGCGAAAGAGCTACACAGAGATGAGCCATCAGCCGACGTTCCGGATAATAAAGCATTTCCAACAAATGCAGTGGGTGAATCAGTAGTCGATAAGACATTGCATTCCAGTATGTCACGACCCAAAACATTTCCTGGAAATCATGTTGATTCGGAAAATAAAGTGGTAGATCACCGGAGTAGTGCCTGTGGTTCGTGTGGATCTTCGAATGACGTTGATAGGTAAGTCATTTAGTTACAGATAATCAAATAGCTTACGCAGATGTTTTGTTTCCTCTGAAAATATTTGTAATACATTAGTGCTGTTTTTATGGTTTTGAGAAAAAGCGGTAAGCCTCTCATCTTTCATCGTGTATGTTGCTATCGCTAAAGTGTTCATTAAAAAAATGTTGAAAATGGGCTCATAAAATGACGGTGCACTATTACGTCTACTCGCTCTGCATGAAAGTAGGAAATCGAGATTGATTATAAACTGAATAAAATAATGATGAAACATTAAGGTTTTTCAAGACATGTTCGGTATTAAGCTGATGTTCCTTCACGATATTTGTATTCAGTCGACAGTTTCCCCTGTTTGTTGCAGTCTGATTATTAGAAGTTCACTGTTTGATATGTGAAGCCGTGGATTTCATAAACTATCTGAAGGTGGTACAAAGTAGTGGCTTAGTATCTCAGCAGTTGAGACATACTGATAAAGTATATATTTAGTTTTTCAATGATTGAAATTGTAGTAACAGTCAGGAAGTGAACAGTCATGTCCGATCAGAAGACAACAGCAACGAGATGCGAGGCAAGCTGGTAACGAAAACGTTGCCTACTGGTCAAGTCGTCAACCTGATGTCACAATTAAACCACGAACACAGTACCCTTTTCGGAGTGGATAGCGAGGAACAAGACAACCAATCTACTACCCAAGTTCTGGCTAATCGCCCATTTCAGCGATCCTCTCAAGCTCTCAGAAATGACACAGATTGTATCAAAAGAGTTCGTCGAGTAGGCTTTTGTTTTTAACAGTACCATGTATTGCTTTAATCTTTATTTTCTCGTCAAAAAATAGGATGTCGTCATGTAAGTTACTCACTTACGATTTTAGTGAATATCGAAATATTCAAGCAAGTCTTTACTTTTTAGTAACTTTTGAAGAGGCTTTACAAAAATTTAAGTCGATTTATTTTTTCAGTTATTTCCCAGTTAATTTTTTGCTTCAAAACTGAGATATAAATAATTACAGATCTGGCGGTCGCGATCAGAACCAGTGTTTATTGAATCTTTTTATAAAATATTTTTTCAAAACGCAGCTGTGTTTATATCTATTTATTTAAAAATTGCTTTTTTTTTTTAAGGAAATGACGAAGATTTTGTTGAAAATGGATGAAACTGTTCCAGTTGCCAGTTCAATCGATGATTTCCTTTGCGAATGTTCTGTTATCTTGAGAAATCGCTGGCGAGCTCGGGACAAATTTTCTGAGATTGCGTTTCAGGTTCCGAGAGATGTTGAATTTTCGGAACTTTATGAATTATGAAAAGAAAACTTTGCTAACTGATTGTATCGTCAGCTATTCAGATGATGTTTTCCTTGGTTTTATTAAATCTAAAAGGAGTTGTATTTCAGGGCTTACTTTTGGTGCTCGAATTTTGCTTAGCTTATACGAAATCATATGATCCTATGTTTGATTATTTTTTATCAAGTTTGGGCTACAATTCAGTTGCATTCTGGCGTCTTGCAGTCCCTTTGATATATGACTCGGATTTATCAGCTGGTACCCATTATCGTGATGCTTTATTGTTCGCCCTGGCACTTTACGACGTCAACAACAGCAAAAGCCGTTTACGGTTGCAATTAATTTCATTTAAATTTTTCAGTAAAAGAAGCTATTCTTTGTCACATTATGTTGTGTTACTTTAGCGTAAGGTTCTTAAAACGTACCGGTAGTAGTACTGTAACTTCTAGTAAAATGTATTTTCCATATTTTTTAGAGAATTATATGCAGCTGTTCCTGGTGTTCGACAAAGTATGCTTGGAATCCATGCCAAACGTTTCGGTGAAAAATATCGCCATTTGCAGGTTGATTTATATTATTTCAGTATTCGTAGATCAATTTTTTTTTTTTTTTTTTTTTAATCAAATAACAATAACACTAGATGATGCGAAGCCGAGCAAGTTCGCGAAGGTCCAGCATTCAAGGGTCCATTGAAAATTTGGATTTATCAGAGCTTGAATTTGATGAACCGGTTGAAAATGATGCACACGCTGGAGGTGGGTTAACCGATATTTCTCATCACAAGGTTCGTTGTCATATTTTTGCTTTCGAAGTACTGAATTTCTAGGAACATAGTGTTTTTAATATAGAAAAATTGCAGATGAAAGTTGACCCTAGCTGTTTAGTTTTTTCCAAAGAAGATTTTTTTCACTGTGAGTTGTAAAGGAATAACGGTAACTCAAAACTGAAGTTGTCGGTCGTTTGATTGAACTGATCACTCTCTTGTTAAAATCTATACAGAATACTTATTTGTCATGGATAAATAAAATATTACAAATAATGTGCAGAATTAAGCATATCAAAATAAAAGGAAACATATAAGACCATACGAAATTATTTTTCCACGCTTTTTTTTTTTTTGAAATGGTTGCAAATCTCCATTTAAAAAGCGCATATTTTTCCTTGCAAATTTGACCTTTCACTAAAATACGGTAAAACTGGATTACTGTTGAATCGTAATTCTGAAATGAGATTTTTCTTGTCCTAAATGACGACTTATTCGTGTCTTCCTTACCTTTGTCACCAAAATAACGGTAATAATTTAGGTACAAAAATTACACTTACATTTGATAAAGTAAAGGTAACATTTGTAGAAGGATTTCATGCATTTGTTTCTTTTTCAGCAACGTGTAATCAATGTTTCAAATGCACCACCGGTATCAATAAAACGTAAACTAAGTGGTAGCTGGGAGATTCAACAAGGAAGTGGTGGATTGGTAGCCTGTGTTGATCCAGTAATGAGTGTGGATAAAGAAAATATGTGGCTTGCGAATATTGGGATGAATTTACAGGGAGCTGCTAGACGAATTTCCGAAGATCATGTATTATTCTTTACAGGTTACCTGTAATAGGTCACAGTGTCACTATAGTAATTATTGGAGACAAAAATTTTCTAATCAAATTTTTAGCGATTTCAACTTTTAGGCATCGCCCTCTACTAATTCACTTGGATTACCACTTCTTCGACAGGCTAATGCCGGGGAAATTTTTCACGTTTTGGGTGACGACTCGAAACCGAATACATTAACAGAAAATGAGCGAGATGTAGAGTAAGAAGATTTCTATACGTGTTAAGTAATCAACCAATAGATAATGATTGAATAAAATACTCATGATCTTGTTAATTAGAACTGAGAGATAAAAGATAATGTATTCCAAGCGACAAAGACTGAGAAGTATAGGCAATAACAGTGTTGAAGGAAAGGAAATGAAAGAAACAATATAGATGAGATGATGTGAAATGATAAAATCTCAGTGCAAAACGAAGTGGGAATTTATTGGTTTTTAAGAATTATGCTCGCCAGAAAAAATTCTCTCGTATATCAGTTATATAATTCAGACGAGAGATGTCATTACTGTCGGTGCTGCATGATTACAATAAATCAAACTATCAGTTAAATCCAGTAATTGTAAATCAAGAAGATTATAACACGTACTATGGTGGTATCAGCAATGGTCTGCTCTGGCCTGTACTGCACAATTTACCGGAATATATTGTTAAAGATTACGATGATGAACAGGTTTGAATACTGTTTTTTTTTTTGGTTATTTCCAGGTATTGTTAAATTTTATCAAAAAAAAAAAAGTCTTTGCTCCTTTTTTGCGCTGAAAGTGTGCTCTTGTCTTTAATGTCCTAATTTCTTCAACTCCGCAGGTACTTCGAGAACATTGGTGCGCTTATGTGAGAGTTAATTATCAATTTGGAATTAATGCCGTCAGAAATAGCAGACCACAGGATTTTATCTGGATTCACGACTATCATCTAATGCTTACAGGACAAATGATGAGAAGTCTAGATAGTAATCTAGAGGTGGGCAGTATGCCACATTATAAGTCATAATTGCAGTGTAGTTTTTGTTCACTTTGACTCAATATGTGGTTAATTTTTGAAAATCTGTGATTTAGGTCGGTTTTTTCCTGCATATCCCGTTCCAACCTCCAGACAACTGGATGACGAAATATCGTATCGTTGCAGAACCAATAATGCGAGCTTTACTTCGATTCACAAAAGTCAGTTAACTGAACACACTTTGTGCCTTGGAATCGTATAAAAGCTGGGAAATATCAAGCGAGTTATCATTTGTGATATTCGTTCCGCTTTTTTCATCTGTTGCACGTTCTAGTTTTCGATAGTTTTTGAAGTAACTTAAAAATTTCTAATTTTTTGAGCAGTGTATCGCGTGGCACAATGTCTAGGTAGCGTATGATTTGAATGATGTATAAAAATTTCATTAGTAGGTTGGTTTTCAAACTCATCGAGACCGTCAGAAATATGTAGAACTGGTGAAAAAACATATATCACGTGCCCGGATTCAGTATGAAAGTACAGTTGACATATTTACCGTCACTCATGAAGTAATTATTTGTATTCTCTAACTTTGGATACAATTATTTAGCAGTTGTATTTTTCAGGTTTTGCGTTCCCCTTAGCTTTTTTGTAGTAGTTAAAAGTGAACACTTTTTTGAATAGCGAAAAATGACATCTGTCAGTGTACAAAGGCAATATTTTATTTCAACAGAATTTTTTTTAGAATTTCACTTGTTCCTTGGGCGTTTTCCCTGTATCAATCAAAAACGAAGATTTTTTGAATATTGTAAAAAATCCAGCAACCACAAAGCTTGCAACCGAAATACGAAAAAAGGTGAATTCTAGTCTGGAATTGTTTTATTTTTATCGCTTTTAGGTTTTCTGAAATTTTAATTAAATTTTTAAGTTGCTTTCTGCTGGATCCGACAAAGGTTGCATTTTTTTTTCTGTGGAACGATTCGATTATACGAAAGGTATCGCTGATAAGCTTAAGGTTCGTTTTATGGAAATTTCACTTAATTGAAATATGGTGACTGGTAACGATATGAAAGACATTATGGTCACTGTTTTGGGAAGCTTATTAATGAATTCGCGAAAATATGCTTCACCATTCTACTCTCTTTCAATTTTACTTTATCATGTTATTTCTTTTATTCAATTATAATGCTGTGTTTAAAAGGTTTTCATCAAAATAAACTGATTTTTTAAGGCTTGGAAACGGTATTTTGAGAAATATCCAGAACGTATTGGACTGGATCTTTTATATCAAGTAGCGGTGACTAATCGACGATCTGTTGAATCGTATCGGGTCTATCAAGATAACTGTTTGAAAATCGTTGATGATGTGAATGCGGCATTTATTTGTAAAAAGTTTCCTACTTGGAAACCGATAAAATTTAATATGGATGGTATTTGAATTATTTATTTACTTATTCCATTTAGTTGTCTACTTGGAGTAATTATTTTTCCATATGAACTTCGTTGTAGGTTTACCGCGAGCTAAATTGGTAGCTCATTATTTGGCAATGGATGTAGGCGTCGTAACACCGATTAAAGATGGCATGAATTTGGTGGCAAAAGAAATGCTAATTTGTAATCCTGCAGCTGCACTTATACTTTCTTCTGGAGCAGGAACTGAAGTACAGTTGGGCAATGCTGGTTTTTATGCTCAGGACAAACAGTGTTACTACCGGGTCGAAGATGTTACTGATACCGAGGTTTGTGTGGTAAACCAGTGTTCCTCGGAATTTTGTGTTTAGCGACATGTTGAGCTGTAAGTTACTTGAATTATTGGGGTTCCATGCCTTTCAAGACGTATAATCATTTGGAAGTGATTTTGAGAACCAACTAAATCTTTTATTAGTTTATATTTCACCATTCCTGGTATGTCTTATAAATTTAGACATTTGCGGATTGCTTTTACAAAGCTGCAACAGAATCTCTTGAAGTAAGACGTGGTCACGGGATTCTTTTAAACCAGTATTTGATGAGTCATGATATCGATGAATGGAGTACAGCTTTCTTAGATCCCTCATGGACTCATGAAGTAATTAGACTTACTGAGGTATGCATTATTTGCCATCAGCATCCATATTTTTACTGAGTTGTATGATTGTCATGATTCTTTTTTTTTTTTTTTTTTTTTTTTGTGTTGAAATGATTTCTAGGGTTTGATGATTTTTTATTTTTGATAATCGTAGTAATTTAATAATTCATGTTGACTTTGTATTCAGGTAAAACTGCTGGCCGATTTTTATCAACTTATGGATAAGACTTGTCAAGTGCGTCGACAAATTGCTGAACGAGTTCTGAAAGGGATTGCAATTCGAGCGCACTTCTCCGTTTCATTGGAAAATGCAAAGGTTAAAATTGTTTCTATACACTGAAATATTTTATATGGAGAACCAACTAAATCTTTTATTAGTTTATATTTCACCATACCATTCCTGGAATGTCTTATAAATTTAGACATTTGCGGATTGCTTTTACAAAGCTGCAACAGAATCTCTTGAAGTAAGACGTGGTCACGGGATTCTTTTAAACCAGTAGAATATTGTTTCTGTGGGAAATATATTATATAAGTCACGAATGAAGAAACTTTTCTGTAGGCATCACTTGAAAACTCATGTGTTCATCATACACACACTCTGATTTTGGAGACTGCAGCAGCAGGCGATGATTCGGATGAGGGTGGCCAACATATGACTGCAAAATTTGATATAACAAACGAATTGGCTGAATTAGAAAATGATCTTGAGTTCCTCAGATTTATTCAAAGTGATGAAATCAATAATGTGGAGCAGTTTGTTATGGTTAGTTTTAAACTTGAATTTTCACTCTCGTATACTTGATTGTGGGCTATCCTTATCATTACGCTATTGCATCGATTGATTGTATTATTTTTCAGACTCTTGCAAGTTATCATCCTTCTGGACAAACTGCTTTCGTTGATGAAGTTAATAAGGCTTTTGCCTTATTAACTGAAGGTGATCATTTTCAACATTTTTTCACCGATCGTGATGGTACTCTGAAATCGTATTCGTGTTCTTACCCAGCCAGCATTCAACCAGCATACTCTGCCGTCATCCAAGTACTTTTAAATTTAGTACTTCTTGGATATCCAAAGTTGTGTATGTCAATTATAAACCTTCTGCGTCAACATCTTTGATGCATGTTAGTGTTTTGAAGGTTAACGTATTTATATTTTTTATTTGTCTTTCTGGAATTTATGAGTAATGTGGAGACATATTCGTCAACAATAGAAATCTTCAGGCACAATTTGCTCGACGTTGTGCTCAGTTTTGCGCAATTGTTACCACATCACCGTTGATGCATATTGGTGTTTTGAATGTCAGCACAATGCCAGAAGGTTCGTACTTTCCTTTTTCTTAAATACAAATCGGAAATTCTTAAATTTTGGTAGTAGTGAGTCGTGTTTTAAGACTTCTATAGCTCATTTTTGCTTAGTGGAGTGTTTTTTTTTTTTTTTTTTTTTAAGGCTATTATGCATATGGCGCCTCTGCTGGTCGTGAATGGTATTTAAATCCATCGCTGCAGTTCAAAGATGATAGTGTTAATGACGCAGACCTGGCTTTATTGACGAGTGTCTTTGAAAGAGTATGACGAGCAGTTCATGATTGAAATGGGATATTTGAATTATTTAATAAAAGTTTAATACGATGTATTTCAGCTGGAAGAATTACTTGAACAACCGGAATATCGTAACTTCACGTGGATTGGTTCCGGCTTACAGAGACATTATGGACATATTACGATCGCTCGGCAAGATGTCAACTATTCAGTTCCTAAGCATCGTTCATCTCTTTTGTTCGTTTTTTTTTTTTTTTTTTTTTTTTTTTTTAATTTTTTAAGGAAGCGCTTAAAAACTAATAAATTCAAAAATATCTGCTTTAAACGTCCATGGAAAAGAATTTATAATCCTACGGGAAGTCAGAAAATTTTATTGCTGCGGTATTTTTAGGTATCAAGCAGTATGTAAAATAGTGAACGAAGTAGATCCTATGGCTACAACTTTAACATTACGAGAGGGTGAATTCGATTTGAAGATATTCACGAAAGTAGCACTGTCGGAAGTGAATAGTGCGACGGTAATTTTCGATGTCCTTATTGAATCTTTATTTTTATTGACCGCATTATACATGGTTGATAACATGTATGCAAATTGCTGTTTAAAAAGAACTTTAGTGCATATCAAATATTTGCATGGCATTTGTTAGGAATTCGTGTAATTTCTGCGAGACAACTTTGTCTGGCACATTCAGTCTTGATTAAACTCGGCTTTACTGATTAGCTTTTTGCTGCTAAATTTTAATATTTTTATTCCGCTCCCATTCGACTTCTATTTTAGGCAAAGATTTCTGGTCGTATTTTTAATAAGGGTCATGGGATTCGTTTGATCAAATCAAAAATGGGGTTGAAACTAAACTGTGGTAAAATTTTGGTATGTGGTGACTCTGAAACCGATTTACCGATGCTTGAGGAATGTTTGCTTTGTTCGCCAGCGAATGTTTACACAATTTGGGTCACAACAAATCCTCAGTTGCAAGAAAAAGTGCGCTCACTCTGCGGAATCTATGAAAACGACCACTATGTTTTCGTTTCTTGTCCAGAAGTAAGATTGCTTTAATCTTGTCCATTTACAAGCTATAACTATGAGACGATGATCCTTATGATAATCCAAGCAGCTCTAAAAACTTCAGTGTGCTGGTATTCTGAACCAACATTCTTAATTTCCGTACTTATAAAATAGCTTTGTTAAAGGTTTTACTTGGTGCGATGGCAAATGCAACCGTACGTGAAATTACAATTCGGCCACAGGGAGATGATGATGAAGATGAGGAGTAATTTCGCTTATATTTATATATATATATTTCCTACATTGTATATAAAATGTATTTACTTTTAGTTAATAAGGAATATAAATTAGTTGTTTGATTCATCAGCGAAGCTGATATTAGTTGATGTGTTTGATTTTGTACATCTTTTTCAGGTTAATTGTATTTATTATTTATTTCATTAAATTTGCGTGGACAATTTATAGATCGGGATATTTCTTTGTTTTTTGAGTAAAAAAGCCCAAAACGCTAGATATGTCATTAGATTACCATAATTTAGAACAAAATTATTGGAGGCAATACCATTAATTGATGAAATTATTATTGTAAATGTGTTTCGATGACAAATCTTTAATGATTCGTTTATGTTGCTCGTTTCTGGTATGCATGAACGGATAACCCATACCTCATTTGCTTGTAGGGATAATTCTTTCTTATATAGAATTCAAAGAAAGTTCATTTTCCAATCAGTAATTTAAAGAAAATTTATGTGTCCAATGAAGTCCGTAAGTGGGAAACTGACAGCTTCTGCAAATTTCAGCAAAGTTTTATAGTTTAATAAGTCATTATTATTTATTTATTTCTCCCTTAAAATTAGACTGTTGATTTTCAACCTTAAATGCTATGGTATTTTTTCCTGCTATACACTTCGCCATAAACCCTTACACAGATGTTATTGACAGCTTTCTAGTTTGGTATGACGGTGTTGAAATTTTTCGTAGTTTAAAGCAGATATTAAGTTGTGGTGTGTAGTGTGAAGGATACCTTTGCATTTGTACCTCAATTTTTTATTAGTTTTGAGACTAATTGTATGATTCTTTTATTCTGTTTTTGACTGCTTATATATTTTTTCACCTTTAATTTTTTTTGGTGTTCTGCAAACAACGGTTCCTCTTTCCTTAATGAAGTCAATGAAGCGAATTTTCATGTTACAAGATTAACTAATCTGGCTTTGTATCTCGCAGTCCCTTTACTATTACAGTTTGGTGATATCGATTGTTTTAACCAAAGTAAGCAACGAAGATATAGTGGTTGAAAATGATGTATACTTTTGTTTTGTAAAAATCATAAAAAAATACTTGCTTTATGATAAGTGGTGTCGAAGTGCATCTTTTGCAGGTGAATTTTTTTACATGAGCCAATTTAGTGGTGAACCAAGTGCAATGGGCAATTAATTGGAGGCAGTCGTAATGCCAGGCATTTCTTTCAATAAATGGTTTTGGTTTTAACTGGCTGGGCAGTACATAGACATCAATTTCATAGTGGTGGAATGCTCAGTAATCCAACTCCTGCTGATGCAATTTATTCCCATATCATAGGAACTAGGATAGTAAATAGTTGAAATGGAGATTTCAGTAGTCAAACATCATTAGGCGGGAACACAATTCTGCAAGATGCAATCCTTCCATTATAAGCTTGGTCATCACCGGATTTTGGAATAAATAAATTCACAATCTTGCAAAATTTAGGTAAGTAAATACATATTTCTAATCCTCTCAGAAATCTGTGAGTCTAAGTCGAAAGGTTCCGGAATGTCATTTCTTTTAAGAACTCAATAAAGTAGGTGTTCCATGCATCGGTTTTTTTGGCTGGAAAATTCTTGTTATTAACCATAGTTTTACTCCATCAATTCATGCCACGGTTTGAATTGTATGTTTGACATATTTTGGTGATTTTGTTAAAATAGCTTCGATTATACTATTTCGTTAGAAAAAACGTAGCCAAAGAAATGATTTTAAGAAAACAGTGGAACTAATGAGCTGGAAAATCCATATACGAGTTAATGGGGGTTCAGTGTGCTTTCCCATTATTATAACTTTTCTTCATAGTAATTGAAATTACTTTTGTATCGTTATTTTCCAACCTTCTTTGGTACTTCTTCTACTCTCCTTAAAGTATAAAGCAGTCTTTGCTTACTATATAGTAATGTTTCAAGTTGACTTGATGAAAGCAAATGAAGAATATTTGTCTCATGTTAATTAATCGAAGCTAAGACCAAGAAATGCAATATCTTTTGTCATTTTAAGAATAATTGCTGTTCTCATTTGACATGTTAATTCATTCGTGTCATCCAGAAAATCGATTTCCATCTTCCGTGTTTTTCGAATTTGAAACTGTCACCACTTTCCTTACAGTCTTTTTGTTTTTAAATATAACTAGTCCAACACTGTCTGCAGTTCTCCTTTTTGAATTGATTCCGAATCAAAGGAAAGACGTATGCATTTAATTATATCATATTTCATAATATTATTAAAAAAAAAAAAATTATCTGAATGATGTTGCGCGTCTGAATCTGCATCCAGTTGGCTGCTTTAGCTAAACTATGAATTTCACTTTTAGTAAAATTTCACATTTCTAACATTTCACAAATATTGAAGACTCATTACGATATGAATAACAGCATAGATGAAAAGATTTGTTATTGTTTGCGTCCCAGTTTTTAAATTTTAACTTCTGTTGGGCGATTGAAAATGTGAAGGATCAATACTAAAATGATCAGATCTTTCAATTCTCAGTCTCAAAATTTTTTATTTTTTGTATTCAAATTAGGCCCATCGTCAGTATATTATTATTTAAATTGGATTAAGTGAGGCGATGATGCATGGAACCTATTAACAGAATTAAAATTTTTGCAACAAATTTAAAGGATATTTTATCTCGATAATCTTAAATTGGCTTCTCTAAGCTGGAAACTGAAAAATTTTACTCAGTAGTAGTTTGGGAAATCCACATCCAGGTTTCAAAGTTCAATCAAAAATAGCAGAATTTATTTTTTGATAGATGGAACAGAGTTGTTATGAAAAAAAACTACGAAGTTTGCTAATCATTTCGAGATTTTTTGATGCATGAGTTGCATGCATTTTGCACGACTGCTGAACGTACGATCATGCTAATGGGGCTTCTTATATTCTAAGTTTGAAATCTATCGATAGTTCTATATCTTAACATTAATCAACAAAAATCTTTAAAGGATATATTATCGTATTTTCTTCATCTTCAAAAAGAAAAATATAATTAACCACATAAATTAATCACATATCTTTTTTTCTTTGTTTATGATGGAATTTGTAAAAACAGAAAACGAATTAGTTAATGCGAAAGATGGTTTTAATAGATATGTGTCAGACTTGCCAAATATGTTCGAAATCAACCCGAAATTATAATCGCAAAAAATTTTATTACTCCCTTTAAATACAAAACTAATTTTTATATCAAGATGCGGAAATTTCCGGCAATACTAACAATGGTTTCATATGCATTTCTCTTCGTAATTCTTACATGAAATGAAACTTCTCACCAAAAAAGAAAAACAGAAAAAAAGCAAAAAAAAAAAAAAAAGAAACATCTTGAAATGAGAACAATAGCAAATTTTTCTTGTTTAAATGCTAGATTATTTTGATATTTATAATACCATCAACAAGAAAACTTATCGTTGCTCCATAAAACTATTGAAAATTGAAATGTCAGTAAAACAATTTCTTGTCTTTTTATTTTCAAAGTATGGAACCGACAATTTTCGATAAAAGTTCAAAAGTTCCCGTAAAGAAGACAAAACAAATTCGAGACAACAAAATTTATAAGTTTACTAAACGTTTCCAAACAGAAAAGTTCCTAAAACTTTTCTGTTTCTTTATTATTTAAGAGGCCAAACAAGTTTCATATACAGTAAGCACCACAACATGTCCATTTGCTTTTATTCTATTTATTATTAATTATACAGATGATTCCAGTCTCATCTAAACAATATCAACTTCGAGAAAAGTTCATTAAGAAATGATCAACTGTTTCTTTTACACAGATGCTTTACTTGTTGTTGATGCTATCTACCATAATGGGTGGGCTTCAGAAGCTACTTACGTCGAGCCTTCACGCTAGACGATTGTGACAGTGTTGAAGGTTGAATTGATTTGTGTCGTTTATGTTATGTGTGCGCTTATGTGCCGCTAATGTGGGGTATTAGTAGCGAGAGCTCACTCTCTACAAGAACGACAATAAAAATAGCAGCATTGACACGAGGACAGCGTTTTCTTCGCCAACGAGCTAGTTAATCAACTCAAAGCAATATGTCCGTGTCACAATATGGTGCTGCAAATTCCGCTGATATCGACTCAATCTCAGGTATTTTCTAATATATATATATATATATATATATTGCGGAGATGCACCGTATCGTTTCGCATTTCATAGGTAACTTTTTGAATTTATTCATATTCAGTTGCATATCATTTATGCATTGGAACCTTGATTCAACGGCAGGAAAAAGATTTATTGCATGGCATTATCCTTGGTAAATTGCGAAAATATGAATGAGATTTAAAATATATGTTGTGGCGAATAAATAGATTAGTATTAAGATAAAGATCAATTGTAAAATCCCTTCATGGGTGCTTGAAAGAGTTGAAGGGTGTCGAAAAATTATCTTGTTTCTGATAGGAAATCTGGCATAGAAATTTCGGATCACTCGTAACTTTTTTATGAGCAAAAATCATTTGGAAGTTAGCCATATGATATTGTGTTAGAACGATCCCTAAAGTGACGTGGTTTTGCGTGTCACATCAAATGTTTGAGACTTATTCTGTCTCCCTTAAATGTTTTCCTCGTCGATCATTATTTTAATTTTAGGATCGAAAATGCACTTGACGAAATGCTACTTACAGCGGCGACATCTTGTCGTGATATTGGCATTTTTGGGATTTGCCAATATCTACGCAATGAGGGCAAATTTATCAGTCGCCATCGTTCAAATGACTAGCGATACGGTTGTTACCACTATAAACGGAAAGCAAGTGGTATGCATTTATTTCATTTCCGGTATTCATACATTCAAATTCTAAGGCAAGGCATTTTAGCTGAATCAAAAGTGTTGCATATAATTTGTCATTTACTTACTGATTAGAAAAAGATTACCAATCCGACCATTATATCAGATATCGTGATCGCAAGATTTCAGCTGTTTCATTTTCCAGTAGTTAAATTCACTCTATTTAATTATTTAAATGGGAGCGTCCGAATTCAATACATGATTATTGCGTACTTGACAGATTTCATTTTCGGCTTTTATAAACTATTTGATTTTTTTTTTTCAAACGAATTTTATAGATTTTTAGTTCAGTTAAGTCTAAAAATTACTGCAGAGGAAAGCTGAGTTCGAGTGGGATACAGTAGCACAAGGTGCTATTCTGGGAGCATTTTTTTATGGCTATTTTTTAACACAACTTCCTGGTGGTTATTTGGCGCATCATTACGGTGGAAAATTCATTTATTGCACAAGTGTTTTCGGTAACTCTATGTTGTCGTTGGCCCAGACCAGAGATATTAATAATTTTGACTCTCTTTATCTAAATACGAAATTCATTTTTGCTAGCAACGTTTCTAACTGGTGCTGCATGAGAATCCCTCCATATATTATAGGTACTGCTGTTTTCACTCTGCTTTCTCCTCCATTAGCAAAACTTGGAAAAGGTTCATTAATTATCGCAAGATTTTGGGAAGGACTTTTTGAGGTAAATTTTCTTTATTAAGTATAATGAATGCTTGTTTTCATTCATTATTCATAAGATCAAAATTACCGCAAGCCTTCATTAATTAATATAAATTTGCCAAGTATACTCTTAGGGTATATCATATCCAGCAATGCATACTATATTGGGAAACTGGGCACCAACAATGGAAAAAACTCGGATGAGCGCTATTTCATACTCTGGTTCCTATTTCGGAACAGTCATAGCAATGCCTGTATCAGCTATTGTTGGTCATCATTTCGGATGGCCATCCATATTTTATTTCTTCGGTAAGTTCTCATGAATAATGATGGATGAACAGGTATTTGAAATAAGTTTGAGTGAAACAAAGACTCTTTCTTATAGTTTACTGCAGATAAATGTGTTATTGAAGTTGGTTCAAAATCAGTTATCCGGGCGTTTCAGGGATATCCGCTTTGTTATGGTGCTTTTTATGGGTCAAAATGTTTTATGATTTGCCGGAAAACGATCCAAATATAAGCACGGATGAGCTAACGTTGTTAAAGCGCGAAACTAAACAAGCAGCAAGTTCTGTAAGATTGAATTTGTTCGTATGAGTGAAGAGTGTTTCGTTGAGCTAAATAATTTAATTCTGGACTCCGTTGTTCAAATAAGGAAAAATGGTTACACCGAAATCTCGAAATATACGAGTCAAACAATATCTTGATATTGTAGAAACCCTGGATATCATTAGCGTAACTGAAGTTTCTGCTTTTAACTTCTTTTGTTCTATTCTTTTACACGTTCTATTCTTTCTATATAGCACTGTAATTATTCATTTTAGTTATATTAGCACTTATTAGCACTGAATTTCAGATTGTTCCATGGAGGCGCATTCTTTCAAGTAAAGCCGTTTGGGCCATTGTTATCGCACATGTGTGTCAGAATTGGGGATTTTATATAATGTTGACAAGTTTGCCACGGATAATAGAAAATTCGCTTAGTTACGACCGTGAAGAAGTCATTTTTGTTTTTGGATATATGTTGACAGATGATCTTTTTTTTATGTTTCTTTCACTTTATAATATTATAAAGCTTTTCAAATGAAATTGCTTTTGAGTTAACAGGCTGGATCTCTATCGTCTCTTCCGTATTTTGTAATGGGCGCTGTGCTTTTAACCGCCGGTGGTTTCGCTGATTATCTTAGGAAAAGCTGTATGTGGTCTACTACAAAAGCCAGAAAAGTTTTCTGCTGTTTAGGTTAGTTTAGAGTTCGTTATGTCTTGTTCTTCTTCTTAGCTGCTGTCTCTCTCAGCTGTCCTGATATCATTCCCAGTGATTAAAATTTCTTGTGAATTCAAATTTCTAGGATTATTAGGGGAATCAGCATTTCTGTTGCTAGCAACCGCAGAAATGCACAAGTTATTGGTGCTTATTTCACTGATAATTTCTGTTGGTTTGGGTGGTCTTTCATGGAGTGCATTCTCCGTCAATTATCTCGATATCGCTCCGCAGGTAACTGCAGAGATTTTTTTTTTTTTTGAAATTCACTGAAAGCGTACTGTTTCTTTGAACGTACATGTGAAGTTCAAAAAATCTTGTAGTTAACGCATGGGTTTAGCTTTAAGAAGCTGAAAGTATAAATTTTGAAGGGTTTTTTTCTTCGTAATATTTGATGAAATTTGATAATTTAAAATGAAGCGAGTTAGGCTTTTATAGTATGCTGGTCACCTTATGGGTTTTTCGAACACATTAGCTACATTGCCAGGGATGATTAGCCCGCTATTTGTTGGTGCAGTCGTCAAAAATCAGGTTTAGTTTTCATATTGTTTCAGCTAATTTAGTTCCTTATCGGTCTACCTGACGTTCAGCAAGAAATGTAATTGAAGAATTTTTCAATTTTGCTTGTTTGATTTCGTGTTCTAAAAACAAGTTCTTTCGTAAAATGTTGGCAATCGTTCTTAGGTAGAAAATAAATATACGAAATCATTTTAGTTGCGCAGTGAATGGCATGCCGTGTTCTTTTTTACATCAGGCATTTATATATTTGGCTCATTTATGTTTTGGCTTTGGGCAAAAGGTGACTTAGAGGAATGGTCTTCACATCAAGCTGGTTTGTCACAAACTGACAGCTGAGATTGCGAGCCAAGGTTTTTTCTTCCCAGTACTATACCGGAAAAACTTTTCTCAAATCTGGGATTATTTTAAGCTTCTTCGTTTGTGCGTTCTGGCTTGATGAAGTTTTAAACCTAAGTTTTTAATGGTTTAGTTTTTTTCCAACTGTATTGTGGGATAGATGTAGTGTATTCAGCTGATTTGCATATATGGGGTCCTGTGAATTTGTCTAATTTTTCTTATCCATTTAGGATGTTTTCTTTTGTTTTGAACTATCAGTTCTTGTGCAAATTAATTTATAGTTGAGGAGGCTGTGTTTGTTTCATAAAATATATTTTCTTTAAATTTTGGTTGTGTCATTAGAAAACAACTGCATATAATTATTTATAGAAGAAACTTTGGTCCTTAAAAGCTTACTAAAAAATGTCTTCTACCGCAAATTTCTATAAATTTACAGTATGTACATGAAGAAAAATATTTTCAAAAATTAAGATTATTGTATCAAATTTTTTCCACTCAAGTCTTTTGATTTCTGTTTTCCGAACTTTTGGATTTCTGTCATGCCTATCAAAAATTTCGATAATCGAAGACATATGTATTTTGCTAATTTGAATTTGAATATAGCTGTTTTTTTTTTTTTGGTTGAAGTAGTTTCCCTCCCTTTTCGGCGTCTCAACTTCTATCACACTTTTTCTCTTCATTTAAATTGTTGCTTTTTTAAACTGTCACTAAAGTTCTTGTGTTAGTTGTCTCAAGCAAAATGAGACACATGTTATCATACGGTACCGACTGAACAATGAAACTTCAGATACGGATATCTGCTACGAGTTGTTATGATTGTAATAATTTTAAAATATTAAATTCAAGAATTCCATGCAAACAATTGAATACTAGTCATTTCCCTAACATTACCAATCCCAGTAAAGTATGAGTTTTTGTAATTGTGCTAAATGTTCCACACTTTTAATAAGGACGCAAATAAAAGATGCAGAACACTTATAAAGGATTTTTTATGTTATATTATCTTTCAGTACTTATGTTGTTTTATTATCAATTTACAAATACTCAAATTGTTCATTGTTCGGTATTTGGAAAAGTCAGTTTGAAATATTTTTTTCTGTTATAACAACTATTGCATATAATTCACATCTAAATTTATTGCATTGATATACAATTAGTTAAATCAATTTTTTGATCGTGTTTCTCTATCTTCAACGATATTCTAAAAAGATTGTGTTGAGCAGATCTTCTAACATTGTATTTTAGGATAATTTCTCTATCATCGAGTTGAAATGCAACCTGAAATTCGCTAATTTTTAATTCCAGTGCGAAAATTCATTGACGGAATTCAAATTTTATTCGGTAATGTGGTTACATGGAAGTGTAATAGCAGCAGTTGTTGTCGTGAATTTGAAGAACTTTTTTAGAATAACATGAAGACTTCCAAATCTTTTTCCTTCAACTTTCTGAAAGTATTTTATATGTGAATTATATAAATATATTTCTCATTCAAATATGTGGCTAGTAATTTGAAATAACATACGTCTGTGAAAAAAAGATTCTTGTATCTCAAAAATGAACAGACGAAGCAGTTATAATTTTTGCAGATCGCAATATCATAACATTATATTATTAATATATCATTGTAAAAAGCCTTAATAAAATTATGATGATATCAGCAGATTTAAAACAAAACAACTTTAGTTGTAAACTAATCACTCTTGAGATGCTCGTAGGGAAATTTGCATCTGAAAATGAACAGCTCTTTTGCTCATTTAACTAATTTAATGTCTTGAAATAAGAAAGAATATTTCTTTTTACTGTCTCCAAACATTTATAAAATTTATAAAACATTCCGTAAAATAACAAATCGTTGGCATTTAACATGAGGTAAAATTTCATTCTTATATCAACAAAACAACAGCCTGTATCTCAAAAAATTCACTAGGTAATGCTGTTTTGGGAAAAAACCAAATGTTGTCAATATTCAGCATTTCAGAGTAGACTTATGGAAATATAAGATTGGTCCGATTTCAGGTACATCGCACATATTTTAACGATTATCTCCCACCTCTGTTATAAAATCAGATATAGTACCATACTTATGAAATTGATCGTCATTTCTTTTTTTTTTTTCATCATTACAAAACACTTCGGGTGGCATCGTTATCTGCTCAATTATAACTTTTTCTGTCTGCAGAATGCGAACGTTCCAAATGATTGTTCCTTCGGATTACAATACGAAATATGGGAACCTAGAAATTTTTATTACTAAAATTTTGATAACATGAAAAGTACAATGAACAAAAATTTCGAACTTGAAACTGAGTGTATCGTGATGGATGTTTTTTTCAATCTCTTTAACAAATTCGGAAGCTATTTGATCATCATCCCTATTAACTGATTATCAATACTATACTTGGCTCTCGTATACGCTGATGAATTTTTGCAATTTACAACACTACAGGTTGAATGAGTGTGACTTTTACGTAATTCCAAATTATTTGATGGTGTGAAAATTCCGTTTCGACAATTAATAACTACTGATACATCTGCTGATATTCCAAATGCTTTATACCTCCTTTCATCGAAAAAAACTTCAGATCCCACTATATTTGATGAATCCATGTTAAAATTTATGACTTAAGTTTTGCTTTTAGTAAGTCTGCTTGGTAGTTGCCCACACTATATCTAGTCCCCCCTCCCGCCCCCTCTCCTCTTGCTTTAGAACTGTGCAATAATTCGACCAAGCTTTATCTTTTCCAAAAATTGACGAAATCTTCTGCTGTCTTTTGCGGACGCATTTCGACAACTGCTGGTTAATATGACAAGTAAATTTTTGGACCCGAAAATAAATCCAAGTAACATGGATCTGCATAAAAATAGTTCAAAAACAATAACCGTATCCTGCATAATAATTTTCAGTTCAGTTTCCAATTCCAAAAAAAGAAAAAGAAAAATCCATGTTGACAGACCTTATAAAGTACGGAATCAAAATATAAGTCATTAGTGTTACTCAGTACTATCACTGATACAAATTCTTCTGTCAGCCACCTAGAACAGATAGCATAATAAATTTTGAAATACAACATATTTATATTTCATTTTCAAACTAATTTTCAGACCAACTTACCACCACTATTTTTTGCATTATTATTTGTAGCTTGAAGGTTTTGCAAAAAAAAAAAAAAATCAACTCTTTGAAGAAAGCTTAGTCTGAATGCCCATTATCAACAGCAGTAGAAGCCAGTAGTTCCAGTAGCTGATGTGAACAGTATCAGAAAATCCCAGTGATTCAGCGTTTTCCAGCTGTATGGCTTTAGCAATCATTGCTCAAAAACAGAATGATAGTTCACTGGATATTTTGTGTGACATTCGAAAAATCGGAATTTTAGAAGGCTCAAAATTTTTAAATTAAATAGTGAAACCAACCGTATCAGTCGATTCAAAGACGAAAATGTAATCAGTGATATAAAAACAACAATAACACCTATAAGCAATGATAACGTCAAAGATTGACTTTGATTATCACTTAGAGTAGTACTCCCAGTGCTACGATTAACATTAAAGTTATTATGCTGCTAGTCATAATTTCATATTTGCAAGCGCCATTGCCCTGCCATTAATCAGCCCAAAATCTGGATGATTGTAAAATTCAACGAAATTTACTACAAAATCTTAGAACCTTAACATTTATTCATGAAGTAATTTTTTCTTTCTCTGTCCTTCTTATCACAAATTTTTAATCTCGCGAGCCTCTAAAATATTATTTTAAAGAAGAAGAATGAATGAGAATGGAAAGTAAACGTAGAAAAAAGTTATACGAACTCTTCGCAAAATAATGTTTAAATAATGTTTATATCTTAACTCTGTTTCCAATCTTATGTATGTACTGCAAAGCCTTTGTACATTGTTTCTAATAATGTTTATACGTTAAACCCTTTGTTCCCAATCATATGTTTTTACCGTAAACCCATATACATTACCTATTTCCTTTACTGTTTTATCCCGACTTTTCGAATTTTTTATTCCTCACTTTCACTTAAATTTTTTTCCATTGTCAATGACCGATAGTAACATTTTCTTTGCTCGACGCATCCTGATGTTTGGCAAATCATAGCAATTTCCTTGTTCTATTAAAATGAGGCGCAATTTCATTTTATCACACTTTCAAACCTTATTCACCTAATTTTCGATTTTATTAAATTATGCTCAATATTTTTATATTTTTACTGACATAAGATGGTTTATAAGTTTCAATAACCTACCTAGGCTTTGGTATCTGCGTAATTGCTACTAAAAAAAAACTTTTTGCTATTATTTGTGATAGCTTATTTTCATAAAAGCATATTGTTTTAAAATTTTATTTCTCACTTCATCGGTAGCACTTTTTGGTATCTGGTGTGCTATAATATTCATTACATTATTTCATCAATACCAATTAAACTTTAGACCTTTTACTTCCTTAATTTAAAGCAAAATTAAAATTTGCGGGAAAAATGATGAAGAACAAAAGCAGCGAGTATATATAATAAAATTAAATTTTGAATCTAACATTACATAGTAAACTCGTATAGGTCGGCTAAACAGAATCGTTCATCAAGTTTGTGCGCAAAAGCTGCCGGATCACTATTGCCGTTTATTTTTGTTTGCCTAACATTACCGAAAATATAAAAGCAGGTTGTTCTGCAACTTTGAGAAACAGCAGTGCAAAATTTCCAACGTAAATTATTGGATTACTGCTTCTAGCATAATCAATAGAAACAAATAAGTTTGATAGAAAAAATGGACAACATATCTAAAAGAAATCAAAGGAAGGTATGAGAAAGGAAATACTGTAAATGAAGTTGGAAAAAGAAAGGAATGGAACATAAGTATGCAATCCGACAGCAATAGCGCCCTTACTTGAACATATATATATATATTAATTAGTAATAAACGGTAATAAAATTAGTGATGTTTCGTGGAGCCATTAATTAAATCTTTTCATTTTATTCTAATTAGGAATAAGGATTATACAAGAGAAGTTCCCGCAACATTATTTTGGCGATGAGAATGAACTGTTACTGTTATCATGCTTTAGCAAGTTCTTCAGCAGCGCCCGTTGTTATCAAATGAGCAAATGCTTTGTAATCAACTTGACCATTTTCAACTGGCGGCTTGCCCTGAATGAATAATGTCAAAACAGGGAAAATAGAAACTTAGTTATACTGCTAACGGATGCTGAAGAAGTACTTAACTATGATAGAATGGTTCTAGTAATTCACAAAGGAAACACCACTAATGATCACGTACTTATTCTAAACGCCGTTAGTAGTGTTGCTTAGCAATGATGAATTGACTCGATTGAATCGTAAAAGAACTGTTCTTGGATTCAGTTTAAGGTTAAGTTAAGATTAAAACTGATAATGAAAGGAAGAATTAAGTCGTTACAAAATCTGGTATCAACATATGACTAGAGTGGAATATGAACAAATAAACAGTACCTTATACATAGCCTTGATTTCATCATCGTCAAATGGTTCCCCTCTTTTGTTTTGCAAAATTTTTAATAGCTCGTCTTCTGATATTTTGCCGCAGTCTCTCTTATCAAACATCTGGAATGCACCAATTATCGTTGCTTCTGGATCCGTCCCTGAAGTGGTTATATTCAGTCATTTGCGCCTTTTTATCTTCGCTATTGTCGCTGACGATGAATGAAGAAATTATTAACAGAATGAAAACATCGAACAGCTGTTATTCAGCTAAAACATCGACAAAGCATTTCATTCCTGATTTTTTTTTCAAAAAAGTTGGAATATATCGGGAGAGTTAAGCGATATTAGCCAGCAATTAAGCAGAAACTAAATAATAACTGGGAAATTTTCTATGTGTCAATCAAACTATCATTCTTGAACGAGAATTTGGTAAAACAGGATTTGGATATTGGTGACCCTACCAAGAAAATATTTAAAATAAAGTCATTACTGTAGAATATAGGTAAGAATCAATAATAAACTGGCTGAATTATTTGTTTCATCATTAACTTAATTCATGAATGGATGGATTAAAATAAATCACTAAATAGCTATCATGAAGGACGCAGTATATAAGTAATCCTAATATCTCTAATTAATAGGTTACCTGTTAATTTTTCTCCAAATAATGTTAAAAAAACAGTGAAATTAATGGGTCCAGGAGCTTCCTTGATCATTGCATCAATTTGAGCATCTGATGCAATTTGTCCCATCATTGCATAGAGATCCTTTAGATCTTGTTTGTCAATTATTCCATCCTTATTTTGGTCCATAATACCGAATGCTTCTTTAAATTCCTGGATTGTCTTTTGATCAAACTGAGCTGCTTCCGAGCCAGACTTTTTCTTACTTGACTTCTTTTTTGCTGCTTTTGACTACAAAAATTATAGTAAGAAAATAAGTTACTTCATTGTTCCTAGTGTGATAAATTTTCAAGAGCTACGCGTGTGTAAAAAATTTAAATAGTTTTTGTGAAAATATATTCTCTTTTCCATAAGCATATGATGCTAATAACAATCAAAACATATCCACTAAATTAGGTAAAGTTAGGTAAACAATTTCTTGTGTGGCTCTCATCATTTAAACATTTAAATAAGGAAATAAATCTAAAACTGACTAAAACTTTCAGTGAACCATGTGATTTTTGCACTAAATTTCTCACTTAAAACTGGAAGTGTTGATGGGAAAAATAAAACTGAAAATAGCAGAACTCACCATCGTTAACGCGTAATGAAGAGAGAGAGGAATTGGTAGTGTAACGCGGCACAAACAGAATGTACAATGAATTCAACTTGCAGGAGGCTTTTAACTAGCTTTGAGAAGTTGAAGTCTGCTGCTACCTTTACACATCTCATACATTCTCTAGCTTCAGCTTTCCTTGCCACAACAATTTTTAGCTCACATTACACTGTGCCAATAACTTGTGCACTTCTTTTGTTTACATAGAAAACTCTAATCCTTTTTGAATTATATTACCGAGAAATCTTGATTGATTTTGAACATAGTACCGAATTTCAAGATGCCGATTGTGATATGTCAGACCCTGAAATGATGCATACATCAGAGAGCGTAAACGTAGAAGATAAGCTTCAACTTTTAATTTGAACCCCAGGATCTAATCTATTTTGCTACGAGCTTAAATTTTAGTAGGAACTCCTGAATATGTCTGTCTGAATATGTCTCTGTGCACTGCAACAAACGCATTCATGCAAGCAGCAACTCACTGAGTAAGAGCAATAAATTCATTCCACATTTCTTTTAAAAAAAATCATGTTTTTAAATAATTTCAACTACTGAAATTGAATCAATATAACATTGAATCAGTATAAGCTACCATTCCTGTCGTCTTATGATATTATTCAAATTTCGCTGCTTAAAAATCGTCTGCTATTTTCAAAAAATTAATATAAATAATGATATTTTTAATGCAACGCAAGTTTTTTGTACGAATAGATCTTCGTTTTTTAAGATTGAATACCACAGCTCTTCTCACCCAGAAATTATTAGTTGCAGTGTAAGCGGATATTCATTTTCCTGCACTTTTTTGATGTAAATATCCTATCATATATGTGCTTATTGCATATTCCAATCATATCTGTGTTCATTTGCAGTGGTTTTTCTATACACTCAGAAGTTTAAGATATAATTCATTTTTGCTCCTTATTGATGTAAAAAGTGAAACATTATGTGTCAGTGTTGACAGAAATGAGATTTTCTGGGTTGCAGTTTATTTGAAACTCTTTGCAACTGTAGTGAAAAAAAGGTTTTAAAATGTGATGGCATTGGAAAGACATAGCAATAAACTATAATAAAATTTTAATTATCAATAGAGCAAATTCGATTCGAGTGCCAGTTAAAAAATAAATTTAAGCAGTAATTAAATTCAATAGTTATGGTGAAGTTTAATCAATTAATTGAAAGTAATGCGTTTTGATGAACTATTTTCAAGTGCAAATAATAAACATCTTGTAATTGTCATTTTGGTAGCGCAATTGGTTAAAAGCTTTCTGACCTGATATTGTCGAGATACCCTCAGAATAACTGGTTGGTGGAACTCAACACTTATTCCCTTTTAAATATTAAGAGGTCAAATTGATTTCAACATTGAAAAATAAACGATTTATAAAATTTATTCCGATTTTTTTTTGCTCATTGAAAAAAATTTCAAGAAGTTATCATAATAGGATTTTAAGCAACCAAAAAGATTACACCACAAATCAGTTAAAAAATATATCTCACAGCAAATTTTATTTGCGCAGAAATTTACTTTTATAAAATTTAATTACAAGTCTTTTTTAGCTTACCATTTCTAGCTCATTGTTGGAAACAGTATTACAAGCAAATAAAAGCAAAATATTTTATTTAGTGGCGTTAATATTTCATTGAAATCTGAATTTATTAGATCGGAAAAAATCGAAAATCAATCCCTGAAAAAATAGTAATTAAAATTTTTTAAATTCTAAGTATCAAAGATGATGTCAGGTTTAAAATCTCCTTTCAAAAAATTCGGCGATACAAAATGTAAATAAATGTGTGGGTATGTTCCTAATTCAACGTGCCTTGTCCATTTCATCTTCCTCTTCCTGTTCTTCATCATCTTCATTTTCCTACTACCAGGATTTCAATTTCAGAAACTAAGGAAAAGTGGGGATAAAGTAATATAGTATTCCTTTCACGTTTTATTTGAGCTTCTTTCAGGATCACAAATTGTCAGTTTTGTTTTTGTTCGGCTTTAGACATTTCAAGGTGATAGATTTATAACTCTAATGTAGCGTTAAAAAACAAGTCATTTGAATAACTTTTAATTTTTCGTTTGTTCAGCAGTGGCTGATTATGTTTTGCGTAAATTTTTGGAAATGAATTACTTTACCAGCAGAAAATTAAAACTGTCATAGCACCTTTTTTCTTCTTTTTCAAATATGAAACAACAAAATAAAATTGATGTCTTTCATTAATTAGCAAATATTTTAAAACCATTTCCAAGTTAAAACAGTTTATGAATGAAAAAAATGCGTTATCTGTATGAACTTCTGGAATTTTTTTATTATGTTATGAATCCATTAACTTCCAGCTATTCACTTGCACCTATATATTTCCTTTTTCTTGTTGCTTTATTTTCAGGTTTTATCCAATTACTCTTTAATCCAAATTTTGATCGCTTTACTCTTACTGCCAGCATTACTTTATCTATATGTTACGATTCGCAAGTTCCCATATTTTTCTTTTGTTGTTTTATTCAATTACTACTAGATTTCTCATATGTCCATTTTGATCCACTGTCTTTCCCCTATTCAGAAAGTTGTCATTCTAAATGTAACTCACAGTGTCAACCTATTATAATAAATAAATAATTCATCAATAGTATTAAAATGATGTCGCTATTCTGCTAAAAAATGTTTCATTTATTTAGACGGTGAATATGGTTGAATGGATTTACTTGGTGTGTCTGTCAATTTTATCACACTTTAACTTTTTAATTACTGTCACTTTCTCGCCACATCATATCATCTTCAGTAAGTCAATCATATTAGCAACCTAATTACTGACTAAATCAATTCAATAATGCAAATCTTTTTTTTTGTTATAATTTAAATATACGTTTTCCCCAATCTCAGCACTATCATATATTGTCTAAATATTTTGCTAATAATTTTTTCTTTTTTTTTGATAATCTGTTTATGACAACATAGTTCTGATAACATTTTTTATGAATCAAGGGGAATATCGTAGTTATTATGTAATTGTATTTTTGAGTTTGTAAACAAAGTCCTGAAATCTCAGATTTTTACTCTCACATTCTAAATAACAACAAAATATAGACTATTTTGTAAAAAGGACAGGGAAACTTACTTACTCATAAATCTTCTGCTGAAGTAATTTTAAATGGAAGTGGATAGGTAGATTTTCATATTCGTCTTTTTATCATAACACTGATAATCAACAATAACGTAAATTCGTAAAATAAAAGACCAAAATAAAACTCATTAATGCATAAGCAATCATCGTTTGGTCATTCTTCTTCCCACAACTGCCCTAACTTTATGACATTGATTATACGTCGTAAACAAGTGATAAATGTAGCAATATGGTAATCTTGGATTCTACTGTTTAAATCATTTGCTTCTATTCTCTCCTGTAGCGAAAGAAAAAAGGAAAAAGAATAAACATAATGTGCCGAAACTTCCGATAAATAGCACCCTTAGATTTCAAATTTGCCAGAACAGTATGACTGAAAGACAAGGATTAAAAAAAGTGCAGTTTTTTTTTTTTGTTCAGCGTTTTCCTCAATAGTTCAGTATCAAAAAAATTCAATTAGAAAATTTCATATTTCCTGTCTAAGCCATTACTAAGTAATCTCAAACAAAAACTTAACTATTATAAAAAAAACAGTAGAACAAAAATCGGAAACTTACCAATCTTTTTTTGTGAGCAAATCGATAACCATTTTTTCAAGAAAAGTCGCTGATGATGCTAAAAGATTAGTGAGCAAGTATTATGAACAAAAAGTTGTTGATTAATCTGAGATGTAGGATTTTGAGGATTATTGATTTCTGAGCACGACGAACAGGGCCTTCCGAATAATACTCCAGTAAATTGCTGAGAAATTATGAAAATAGTTGCGGTGTATATACTCTGAAAACGGAAGTTCAAAAAACTTTTGACGTCTTATAGGTAGAGGGATGACAAATAGTCGTACATAAGTTTACACTTGGTGTCTTGAGAGAAACAAAGTAAAGTGTATTTTAATCCTTATATTAAATTTACTTTGCTGAAGCGAAAACTCTCCCAGTCAGTAAAAGCAGTACGTCAACACTCCAACGTGGTGTTTATTATTTACGCAAACGATTCTAGGTTCACTCCCCCACCATCAGAAATCAAGTATTAAGGCCACATATTAACGCTCATTGCGCTTTGTTGACGCTTAATAAAAACAACACAAACATCGTGGGTGGTCTCGTCAATTTTGTGCAGCACTGCGTCCCGTAGCCATCAACTGATTCCTTTCTCGTTTGTTTGGAAATGTTTGTTCCTATAGTTTACTCTCATAAAAATCTTAACCATAGTGTTTGGTTGGTGTCTTCTTGCTTTTTAAAGTAAATTAAACTATATAAGCCAATATCTTTATTTAATAAGCTGAAATTGGGAAAAAAGAAACGTACTCGGTGACCTGCTAGGTTTTTTGCAGAAAACAGAAAAAAGAGCATCCAAAAGCAGAAATGAAGGGCTTGAAGTTGAATATAAAGTATTTTTCATTTCTTTTTTTGTTGAAAAACTATAAAATTTTCTCTATAAAAATTAAGAACTAGAGAATTTCTAACCAAAAAATGAAGTAAATACTACTTTGTATTCAGGATTAATGCCCTTTTTTGTTCTACCAAAATAAATTTTTCTTACAAATAGTTCCAGTTTTTTTTAAAGTTACAAACCAATTGCACTACTGAGATATAAGATTGACCTTGCATTACTTAACTTTCACTTGCATTTCAGTTATGTTGCATTTTGATTTTGCGAATCATTAACATAGCATGTAACTTTCTGATAGGATCTTTTCCAAGCTGAATCGAAGCTAAGATTAACATAAATAAGACAATACAGCCAGCAAATGGTCATTGATTAAGACGATTTCATAGAATGTAATTAAAAAGGGATACAATTGATATATACCTAAAAGCATATAAATAAGTGAATTAATGATATTTCTTCGTATCCGCTGAATAGTGATTTTCTTTTCCTTCTTTTTCATAGAAATTTCGCTCATCGATTTAAATTTGATTTTCAACTCTTGTTCATTAAAATCTTTTTTCTTATATTTCTTGCCTAAGCATCACCACTAATTACATTTTTTTGAGCTGCTTATGTTCCCTTAAGTCTTTTTAATATTATACGCTTGAAGAACAGTGCTCTGCTAAGCCTCAAAATTTAGTAATCGGCTACTATCTGTATGGTTGTGTAGAACTTCCTGTGCCTCGAGGCATTTCAGATTATATTTAGTACTAATTTTTTCCACTTTATGTTTCCTCGTATTTTTGGTCATTAAATTTAAGCAGTAAAAATGCAGTTTCTTCTTGACTACAGATTGATGTAGGCGCTTTCTTATTCACTTCCCAACTTGATGTTGATTTGGATGAAACAGTTGTTTCCATCAACTCTTGATTCTCTTGAGTTAGAGATCATTCAAATGATCACGCCCTTTTCTCTCTAATGATATATACCTTCTGTTCAGCAAAAAAAGAAAAAAGTACTTTCTCGGCTAGCTTTCCGTTCCTTTTTCCATCTTTCAGACATACGCCGGCACATTTTACCTTTCACAGTATCCAAATTCTCTTGGAATCATTGTCTTGGAAAGCTTATTTAATTCTGGTGAAGTAAAAGTTCTCAAAACTCCATACGAACTTGTCATTAATTAAGAGACTGGAAAAAACTGAAATCTGGTGTTTTCCGAAGCAACGAATGATAATAAAGATTTAGCGTGTAGCTCAATATGTTCCACTGATGGAGTTTCATTAGGATTGCCAGTTGTGTCAGAAAGGATGGGAATAAACTTCTTATGTTATATACATAGTAAAATGACGCCATTGGCTTCAAATTGAATACATGGCTGATACTAGTTTATTCAGTAGAAGAAGATAAGAACGTATGGGGTAAACAAAGTAGTCATCAAATAAACTAATCAAAGAAAAAGGGTCAACTTAGAAAAGCGAAAACAACTGTAAAGTGGACTAAACAAAGAGAAGCAGTGATGAACTGTCGTAACAACAAATCGGTTGGATGTAGAAAGCGCGAAATTCATCATTAATTCAGAGCAGAATCAGAATTAAATTATCTTTCTGGATAAGTTCATTGCCTTTATTTTAGTAACTTCTTAAACTTACTGTTGTGCAATCATTATAATTATGAAGCAAATTAGAGATGATTGATAGGATGCTGTAGACAAGAGGAGAATCTTGGTGTTACGCATTCAAATCAAAACGTCGGTATATACCGATTTGAGATCGTTCACCATCAATTAATATATAATGGATTCCCTCAAGGATTTTCAGCACTGCTAATGTGGAGAGATATTTGCAACTCGAAACTTTAAATCCAGTCATGGTGTTAATCACTGAAAATATTTTAATGGACTTGAAGCCCTTATATTTAAGAGGCAATCAACCATATATTGGAAATTTTTACAATCCATTTGACTTATTTAAAAACTAGCGAATGAACTTATCGTCCATTCGCTAATTTTTTCAAGTGCTTACGTTGGCTGTAAGACGAAACTTGGTTTGCTTGATACTAAAGAAATAAATTATTTAGAATTCTTGCTGTTAGTAACGAATAAATATAATACGAAAAAATTCCATTATGATCATAGGGCATTGCTTACAATGAACTATCGATTTATTATAGCAATTTTATGGAAAATGCTTCTAATGCATCGCTAAACAAGTGAAATAATGAACAAAATATTTTCTACTATGATCAATTCGAAAAAGCCTTAATTTTTTTTATTGCAGTGCGCTTATTGCAAAAATATGAAATTACTGAAAATGTAAATTTATGTAAAAATGTAGAAAATATTAATGTAAGTAGGATTTTTTCTGCATATTTTATATATAAGAAAAGTAATAAAATTTTCGAATTGTGTCCTGTCACTTGTCCTATTCGTGCAATATGATAAGTTATTCTAGGTTCGCTTGGATTTACTTGGATATCCGGTATATCGGATTACTGGTGCTTCACACTGTAATAAGACAACCCGTATCCTCTATATGCAAGTGGCAATTTATATTTTTTCAGGTTTATGGACAGCTTAGCTTGCAAGTAAATATGTAATAGTATCTTTTTCAACACTTCAACATGGCACAACTGGCTTTGAACTGTTTAGGCTGTTCATAAAATTTGTTGACAAGTTTTCATTACGCTACAGATCGTTTGGTTTTGCATTGTAGAAATTAATAATTAGTAGTAATGTTTTCTACTAACGCGCTAACATCGGAATGTACTTTTCTCTGCTAAAGAATTTCATGATTTCAATATATAACCAATTGCCAATATATAGAAACAAGTGACTGAGCGATATGGTATCTATAGCATACAAGTTTAATAACGGTATTATAAAAGATAATCTCTCAAAAATTCCTCTGAATCATATTTTTTGAACATAAATATCCTCGCTAAATTGCTTGTTCAAAGAACTATCGATGTGGACTAACAAATTTATCTGACTGATGGTATGCATATTTAGTCTTTTATCCTTTGATCCTCTCGAATTATGAATAAAAGTAAATAAGATTTCCTAAAGTTTGCTATATGTATTGATGCCTTTAAATTAATAAAATGATGAATGTATTGAGAGCTGTGTCATGAATTAAACTTAATAAATGAATTTTTCTTTATTTACAATTTGTCAATTTATCGTTACTGCAATTCCTACTAGTACTGCATGTTTTATCATTATTAAATTAGATATAGAGATTACCTCTATGGTCGCTATCACTATTGCCACCTATCACCACCATAACTATCGCAATGCTAAATTTATTATTGGCTCTTGTACAAAGCAAGCAGTTATTATTATACTAAAATGCTTCCGCTCATTTATTTCAAAAACTTTTTATTAGTGCTGATATGCAAATGCTAAAATTGAGTATTATTAAAAAGTATTTGTATGTAAAACAAAAAGAATTTCTGAACAGTCCTGTTACTTGCTTTCATCTGTAAATTTTACCCAACCAGTATATTCCATTTTGCATTTTATAAATAATAATATATAAAAGAGTAGATTTACTGCACTGGTTTCAGTTTGAGCACTTCTAATAAGTCTCCTAAATCTTTTGTTTTATAAAAGTCAAAGACCGAAATATAAAAAAGATGAAGTATTTAGATGATGAAAAAGCTAAAACAAAAAAAAAAAAAAAATCAATTGTAATGCACATTGTAAATGATCAAAACCAACGATGATTATTGAGCATCTTTACAAACCGAGAATGTAAAGAAAAGCGTCAAAAAACTGAGCTAGAATTTTGATTTTTAATTATTCGGTAATTTTAATTGTTTTGGGTTAGTCAGCAATTTTAAATTAGCAACCGCATATCTTGCTTAAGTTCCATGTTTCTCCTTAATCACCACATTGTTTTATTCCAGCATGATGCCATGAATCATATATGAACTCCGAAAATTCTTATTTGTTTATGGTCACTAAGCTATTTTTCTTTTTTTTTCCCCAGAATTATGAATTATAATGACTATTTTCAATTAAAATTAAAACAATAGCGAGCACTGTGCGATATATGAAGTTCTGATTTTTATTAAAATTAATAAACAAATTATCTTAGCTTACAAATTGCAGAATCAGGAAATATTTAAAAGCACAATCAACTACACCAGCGGAAACAATTAAAATGCCATTTCCAAAAGGCACTTTTATGAGCATAATTATGTTTTCAGTTTAGAAATGAG